GTGTCAAGAAGCCAAAACAAAGGGGAAACATACTAAAAGTAAAAGAGCTGAACAGAAGATTTCAAAGGGCAGCTCCAGAAGACAAAGCAAAGTATTAAAATGGAATGTACTGAGAGTTGGAATTGGAGAACAAAAAGAGAACAAATTCAAGCCTCCAGTTGCAATACTGAAAGATGCTGTGGGCAATATGTTGAATGACCCAGAAAATATCAAAAGATGATGAAGGGAACACATAGAGTTACTATACCAAGGAGAACTGATTAATGCAGAAAAATTTCAGAAGTATCATCTGAGCAGGAGCCAATAGTAATGAAGGAGGAAGGTGAAGCTGACCTTAAGTGAAGGCACTGGATAAAAAATAAAGCCCCAGGAATCAATGGGATATCAAATGACATGCTTAAATTAACAGATGCAGCCCTGGATATGCTCACAAGTCTATGCCAGGAAATTTGGTGGACAGCTATCTGGCCAACAGATTGAAAATGGTCCATGTTTGTTCTCATTCCCAAGAAAGATGATCCAACAGAATGTGGAAACTATTGGACAATATCATTAATATCATATACAAGCAAAATACTGCTGAAGATAATTTTAAAATAGCTAGAACAGTACATAGATAGGGAACAGCCAGAAGTTCAAACAGGATTTAGAAGAAGCTGTGGCCTCAGGGATATCACTACTGGTATCAGATGGATCCTGGCTGAAAGTAAAGAATACCAGAAGAATGTCTATTTATGTTTTATTAACTATGCAAAGGCATTTGACTGTGTGGATCATAACAAGTTACGGCTAATACTGAGAAGAATGGGAATCCCAGAGTGCTTTTAATTGTGGTCATGTAAAACCTATATCTAGACTAAGAGGATGTTGCATGACTAGAGCAAGGGAACACTATATGGTTTAAAAATTAAGAAAGGAGCACATCAGGGTGTTATTTTCTCTCCATTCCAATTTAATCTGTATGCTGAGCAAATCATTCGAGAAGCCAGACTCAATGAGAGGAATGTGGCATCAGGATTGGAGGAGGATCCATCAGTAACCTGAGTTATGCAACCTTGCTTGCTGAAAGTGAGGAAGACTTGAAGCACCTGTTGCAGAAGATCAGCGAATACAGTCTTCAATATAGGTTGCATCTCAGTGTCAAGAAAACAAAATTCATATCACTGAACCAATAGAAAACATCATGACAGATGGAGAAGACTAAAATTGTTAACAACTTCATTTTACTTGGATTCACAATCAACATCATTGGTACCAGTTGTTAAGAAATCAGGAGATATATTGCACTGGGAAGGTCTGCAGTTAGAGACTGATCCAAATTATTGAGGAGTTGTTGTTTGTTGTTATGTGCCACTGAGTCGCCTGTGACTCATAGTGACCCTATTATGTACAACAGCCCTAAAACCTGCTCTATCCTGTGCCAACCTTACTGTGTTGACACACCTACCCCCACTGCTCCAGTGACTGAATCAATCCATCTCATCGAGGGTCTTCCTCTCCTGTGCTGTCCCTCCACCTTCTCAAGCATGAAGTCCCTCTCCAAGGACTGGTACCTCCTTGTAAAATGTCCAAAGTATGTCAGACAAAGCTTCAGAATCCTTGCCTCTAAGGAGCAGTCTGGTTTAACCTTCTCCAAGACAAACCTGTTTGTTTTCCTGGCAGTCCATGGTATATTCAACACTATTCTTCAGCACTACAGCTCAAAAGCACCAATTCTCTTTCTATCATCCCCAGTCTTTGTCCAGGCCTCTGACACACAGCAAGCAATTGCAAAGACTACGGCCTGCATGCGCCACTTAGTCTCCAGACTGACATCATTGCTCTTCAGTAATTTGGAGAGGCCCCTGACAACTGACTTTCCCAATGCAATTTGTCTCTTGATTTCCAGCTGCTGGTACCAGGAGTGTTAATTATGAAGCCAAGCAAACAAAAACTGTTAACAATCTCAATTTCTTCACCATCCATAATGATGCTGTCAATTGGCCCACTGGTGAGAATCTTTTGTTTTCTTGATGTTGAGCTTCAATCCATATTGAAGGTTGCAGTCCTTGACCTTCAGCAAGCACTTCAGTTCCTTCTTAGTTTTGGCAAGCAGGGTTGTGTCATCTCCATAACACAGGTTGTTGATGAAACTTCCTCCAATCCTGATGCCACATTCATAATGATGACAATTTGAGGACTAAGGTACACCTGATTCAGGCCATGGTCTTTCCGATTACTTGCTATGTATCAGAGAGCTGGACAACAAAAGAACTAATGTCTTTGAGCTGTGATGTTGGAGAAAAGTACTGAACATTCTATGGACTGCCAAAAGAACAAACAAGTATGTGTTGGAAAGAGTGCAACCACCACAGTGCACTTTGGAGACAAAGATGATAAAGCTTCATCTCACATAATTTGGGCATGTTGCTAGGAAAGGCCATTCCTTGGAGAGGAACATGATGCTTGGAAAGGCAGAGGATCAGCAAATGAGAGGAAGACCCTCAATCAGGTAGACAGACACAGTGATTGCTGTAATGGCTCTAAGGGTGTCAGGTAGTATGAGGATGACACAGTATAGACAGGGTTCAGATCTGTGGTTCATGGGGTTGCTATGGTTCATACTCGTCTCAGTGGCATCTAACAACAAAAGAGTGGAGAAGTGTAAAAATGGAAGTATATTAATGGTTACCAGTGGCAGCCCATAGAGATAACAGGCACTTAGAAATTATTAAGGGTGATGAGAAAATTTGGAAGCAGACCTGGCAATGCTACATAACATGGGGAATATAAATAATATCACTGAACTGTACATGTACAAATAGTTGAAATAACAAATGTTTGTTTTATTTACAGATAAAACTCATTGCTGTAGAGGTGGAACCAATTCACAGGTGATTCTCCGCTGGGTCTCTGGTAAATAGCATGAGGAGACTACCCACCTTTGTTCTCTTGAACAATGGTGAATTCAACCTGTCAGAGAAGCACAGACTTTGGGCTCACAGCACAACTCCCTACAGATTAACTACTCCTTATATAGAATTTTCACCACAATAAAAAAGCCAAACCAAAGCAAAACCAACTTCTTTAATTTATATTAGTACCCTCCAAAAAAATCCAAATAAACACTATAAAGGGATGAAAAAAAATAGCTAATAATTTAAATGTGGGTCAAAGTGTTTTACAAAATCCTTTATATAAAAAGATACTCAAGGTTAAAAATAGACAAAGGATACAGAATAAGCAAAGATGGACATTCAAATACTAGTAAAAAAAGAAAAAATGCAAACAAGAAAAACTTTATACTATTAGATAAGATCCTGGGGAAAGAACCCAATTTTCCTGGCTCTCAACAACAAACGGGAATTTTGTAAAATGAGAGTAAAGGTATAGGAACTTTCTTAAGAACATAGTAGCTATATGTATAAATATGAAACTTCACTTCTAGAAATTCATTTCAGGTAATTAATTATAAGAGTGCAAAAGGTGAAGACACTAGAAATCCACAGAAAGCTGACTTATGAGATAAAACAACTGGAAGCAACTTGAATGCCCATTAATAGGATTGAAAAAAAAAAAAGAAATGCAATTCATTAGATTTGTTTCAGAAAGTTGTTGACATTGTTGGGGGAAAACAAAATGCAATACTGAATAGCATGTATAAACATCATCTGAATTATGTAGAATTTAAAATTTCCTCTATGTATATATTCTTAAAAACTTAACAAAGATCTTTAATAAAATGTATTCTATTTTCCTAGTAGGCATAGATTTAGTATACTCTGTACTTTTGGGTACTGTTTGTTATGTTACGTTGAGTCAGAAGTTACTCATAACTGGCCTGTTAGCAGGTTTTCAGAGGCTGTAAAAATCACATAGGAGGAAATAGCTCATCTTTTTCCTGCTGAGATGACTGGTAGAATCAAACTTCCTGCCTCTAAGCTGACAACACAGCTCCTTACTACGAAGCCACCAGAGCTCCCTGACCATGTAGTAAATCTTTAATTTTTTATAATGATCATTTGACATCTTTAACACTAAGATGATATTTATCTTTTCTGATTAGTAAATGTATTTTTTTACTTCAAAAATTCTTTGAGAGAATTAGAAGAAGAATGTCAAAAAGAATACTCTATTTAGATAACTTATTTTTCTGAATAATAAAGAGGATAGAAAGAAATGATAAATGACAAAGAAAGTTAATAAAGCAGATAAAAGAAAACAACTTGCCTTTCCCAGGCTAGGTTTTAATTTGATTCCTGAACAAGGCACTGAAAAGACAAGTATTTTTAATATGCCTTCATGATATCAGTAATGTCACCAATGACATATAATAAAAAATAATTCTGTACAGATGAAAGATATTCTTGAAACACAACTACTAAACAAAACATAATAAAACACAGATAAATCTAGGGCCATATTCTGAGTGAAGCTCACTGAGAAAATTCCCCAGATGCAACAGAAATTATATTTTATAGTGCTTATAAACTATCAAAAGAATCTCCCCAAAATAAGCTAGCAAGGCCATTTAAAAAGTTCTTTCTGAATTTGCTCTCTACCTTGAACCAGCATAAATAGCTTAACAAGACACAGACATGTGTAAACATAATTTCACAGAATGCCATTCTCCAAGCACTAAGTTTTCTAACTATATGCTTTATATAACCTGTGAAACCACAGGACTAAAAAATACAAAGAAAATTTGATCTTAAATAATCTTTTCTTCCTCATTGCTGCCATTTCTCAAATCTTAAATCTTTTTCTCTAAAAAAAAACCAAAAAAACACCAAAAACAAAAACCCACAAAGCTCATCCATAACACTCTAGACTTCAATGTCAATAACATAGTGAGAGTCTCCTAGGGTGTTTCAATCCGGATATACATAGGATAATTAATGTCAAAATGTTTTCTTAATTAGGGGAAAAACACAGGTATTTCAAAAGTCAAAAGGCTGCCTTCTATTGAACCGTCATGCTAGCTCTCCAACAGGCAGGTAGAGATATTTTAAGTACTTTACCTTTTGGAGGAAAATAGGATTTGCTTTCAGCTTTGTGAGGCCAGTCTACCACAAGAGGTCCAAACCTGCGAAAACTGGCAGTGATTTCATCTAGAAAACAAAGAAAGGACCTTAGCAAATGGGGGAGGGAATGCAACCAAGAAGCATAAAACATTTTTTATTAAAAAAAATTTTTTTGAGTGATATTTTCTAAAGTATTTTTACAGAAGTCAAACTAAGTGAAATACCATTGGTTGGCATATATTTAGTTATTCACATATAAGCCTGCAAAGTGTATTTCTAACAAAAATTTATTTCTCTTCACTACCAATAAACTTGACCTACAGACTTTGGAAGGGAAAAAAATGGTATTAGCCAAGTTGACTTCTATGTAAGTAGAGATTTTAAAATAGGAATGTTTTCTGTTTTTGGAAAAAGGAAAAGAATTAATTTAAAATATGCTTTCACTTTTACAGACCATCTCTAAGGATTTTTAGAAATAGAATTCTTTTGTGAAACTTTAGAAGAAATTATAGGTAACTATATATGGTGATAAGAAAATCTTAGAAACTATTATTTTCTTTCTCTTATATGCACATATTATATAAAGAAAATGCTTTAAAAATTACATCTCAGCCTTCTGAATTCTGAATCAAAGAAGATTATAACTTAAACGACTTCCTACTTTATCACTCTTAAAGCCATGATGAAAAAATGTCTTAAAAAATGCAACTGATTAATGAGATTAACACTAACATAAGAATAATTCAAAGCAAAGTAAGATTCTAGTTGTACATAATTTTAATGGAGTAAGTCTAAAATACCACTATTTTTGAAACTGTTCTCCTTCCCGTACTAAAAAATGATATATTAGGTAAATGTCAGAGCTAGAATAGCTTGTAAAACAAGTAAGTCTGTTTTAAAAATAACTTTATAGTACTGGTTCCCAAAGTTTCCTGCCACTAGAATTTTTCTCTTAAGCTAACTTTGTCACGATTTTATTTCATCTGCCCATTTGAAAAATATTTACCAGCAAAATTCATGTACTGATGTGACAACTTCTGTTGGTTTTAGTTTTAAGTGAAAACTCACTTTTGGATTGAAAAGAAAATATCTCAGTATTTTACTAGGAAACATTCTAACTAGTCCTCATTGTTTCAAATGAAACCCATTCCTGTAGCGTTAATTCTGATTCAGCAATCCTCCAGGACAGAAGAGAACTGCTCCTTTGGGTTTCTAAGGCTGTATAAATCACTATAGAAGCAGACAGCTCTTTCTCCCTCAGATTTGCTGGGTGGGTTGGATCCTTTGACTTCATAATGAGTAGCCTAGTACTTTAATCACTGCAAACTAGACCACTTATTTTAAGGTAAGATGCGTGTGTTTTTCCCCACTAACAGTTATATTAAAGTGTGAAATGGGATGATACGAGGAAAATGGGCAAGAGTTTTAAATTAGACTGGTTTTGAGTGCCAAGTGCACCATTAGCTACATAACCTTGGAAAAATTATCTTTTTGATTCTCAGTTTCCTCGTCTATAAAACAGAGACAAATGGTGATGATGAACTTAAAGTTGCTGATAGCTGCTTTAGCCTTTTTATCGTGAAACCAGGAAAAATAAAAATATAGATAGTAGAAGATGTCTTATAGCAGTTAGAGGGCTTTAATGAGTATTCCCAGTGTGAAATGCTCAGCAAAAGAGCAGGTTTATAAGAAGAGTCTTTTATTTTTTCTTTAAAAAATATTCTAGTAGTTTATGTACAAAAGTATGAGTCTTTTAATTAGAGAGTGATCAGTTGGCCTAGTGGAGTGATGCTACCAAACCAAAGGTGGGTGACTTTTAATCTGCGGCCCTCAGGCCTGTTTTTCATTGTTTTTGTTAAACATTCTTCTAGGTCGTATAGCCCTGGTGCATCCACTTGCCACAGAGAGGTAACTTGTGGTTGCTGTGAAGCTGATTACTGTGACACTGATGTGTCAAATGCGATAATGGTTACCCACAGTGGACAGTGTTGGGTGGAACTCCCCAATTAAAATAAGCTTGGACGCAGGAGTGGCATCCACTTCTGTAAACAGCTTGCCTCCTGAAACCCTATGAACCTGGAGAAAGGATGAAAGTCACACAAGTGTTGAGGACTTTCATTTATAGTGTCTCTATGAGTCACCTACGACTCGACGGCCCTTAACAACAACAAGAGTCTTTTAAATATTATCTCTCATTATTATTTTAAAATGAAACCTCAAATTAATAACTAGGAAATGTAAAGATGTTGAAACACTGCTTTGTCACTACATGGGAACAACAGACTTGAAATATACATTCTACTATTGCTGTGAAATGCTCTCACCTCCTACACAGTAAGATATAAATGTCCTAAAGCTGCCTTGGACAGGAAGGCAGAGGCAGATCACACAAAACACAAACCCAGCCTTTATAAAATTTTAATAGTACCTTCATCGATATCAGGAGGAAGGCCTCCAACAAACACCTTTCGAGAGTAGCGTTCCACCCGTTCCCCATTCTGACAGCGAGTGGGAGAACTCAAGCCAGATGACAAGGACTGATCCCCATGGCTGTCATCCAGGAAGGCATCTTCAAAGGGAAAGAGAGAAGACCGACCTGAAACAAATGCAGGAGTTTCTATAGTTAAAATTATTTTCCTAGACAACAAATGCTTTATCAGGAGCCCAAAGTTCAAGGTGAGCATATGAAAAGAAAAAAATGTTTTCCTAACTGTAGCTCCAGGTTTCTGGATTTAGACAAGTTTACACCATAGATTTTGTGTAAAAGTATGCGTAATACAGAGATGACTGGGTTGGAGTCTACATAGGTAATATAAAAAAATTCTCACTGTTCTCCTGACTAAAAGATCACTACATTTTGAACAGTAATTATCACTCCTGTTAAAAGTATTCAGTAGCTTCCCCCCACCCTTCTTACAGTAGTTTCTGAAAGTAAATATAAAAATCATCAGAGGTTTAATTCTGAAGAATAACCCTAAGTGCCAAAGAAATTTCAAACCGATGACAGGAGCTGATGACCTTTCTGACTGAAAGCAAGACCAAAGATGATTACATTTTCCCTGCCACTAAAGCAATTCTAATTTGGAACTAGTATCTGCAGTAATAAAGGGTTAGTGAGAATAAATAAAAACATATATGGAGATAGGGGAGTAAGTGTGGTTATGATGCCTTTATTCAAACAATCCTGCTTATACAGGCAGGCTTCAGATCACAAACATCTTCCTTGAACATCAGATTTGGAACAGCTTGCAATTTAATGTTATGTAAACCGTCCTCATTTTGAAAAACTGTAACCAACTTCTCCAATAATTGAAACAAATTCTTCACCACCATTACTTTCACTCAATACCTGTGCAGTTTTTAAATCAATGAAAAAGTTTCAATTCTTTTCATTTACTAACCACTTCCAACTGCATCAAGTTGATTCCAACTCAAGACAGAGTAGAACTGCCACATGCTTCTGAGGCTGTAAATCTTTATGGGAGCAAACTGCCTCATCTTCCTCCCACAGAGCAGCTGGTGAGTTTAAACTGCAAATCTGTGAGCTAAGCAGCACACTTAATGCACTGCACCACCAGGACTCCTTTTTCTTGACCTAACATAAGGCTAAATAAAAACTATATGTACCTATTCCAACTCATATACAAATTCCACTTAAATACACAATTAGGAACAGATACATTTTGTAAGCAAGGAAGTGCCTATATCTGATATCACTTATATGTAAAAAAATTATCAAAAGTTTATGGAATTATTTGCATGGTTAATTCTGTACAGCAAAGTCAACATGATAATAAGAAAGTTGCCAGCAGTTAAAATTTGTTAATAAATGACATCTGGCATTATAAAATCAAATCTAAATTTAAAAACAAATAGATTTCCTGTTTGAGTCAATGAGTTCCTGGTAAAACTTTCCACTAGGCTACTTTCTAAAAATGAACCAGTTTGAATACTCTAACTTTTTTTGGGGGGAAAAGAAAAAGTTCTTTCTAAAATAAAGTCAGATATTCTTCAAAAAAGTGTCTTCCCCATTTAGTCTATCCTACCTATATCTCCCTGAAACCTAGATTTTGTATCACAAGAACCAACTTACTCAACTGAAATCTAAATAGCCTTAGAAAAATACTGAACATTTATTTTTCAAAAAAAACTTTTTAAATTTAACTATATTTTATTAATATCCCAGGCTATATTAAAAAGACTATTTTGAAGTTGGAAATTGAGAAATAAAAGGATCAAGGAATTTTTTATTTGGCTCTTCTCAGTACAGCTAAAAAAAAAAAAAGGAACAAACTTGTCACCTCCTGCTATTTATCTTTTAGCCTGGCAGGAACAAACAGCAGCAAGTTCTCATTTCTTGAAGTCTGTTTTGATCATTCAGAGTAAAATAAAGATCTGCAACAACTAGCGGCAAAATGAGCTTCCTAAATGCATTCAGAGGCATTTCCCAGACTTCAGGTTTGCTTCTCACATGATCCACACTTAGTAAATAATGTGCCTATTCCGTGTGAGGCACATGTCCAAATTAGCACTCCCCACAAAATGCTCCTACTTCCATCACTTAGTTTCAACACTAGCAATGTGAGATGTTCAGAAAACAAAATTCCAGAAATTTTTCAATCCCTGAGATTCACAATCCATATCAGAACATAAAAGGTTTGGGGAAAACCCTATAGTACAGAAATATTAATACATACAGTATTTTAAAGTTTTAATGTAAAAGAATCTTTCAATATACATAATTCAGTGGAAAACCTTTGAGGAATTAATGCTCCAGACTCCAAAGCACCAAACAAACAAATACTTTGTGCCAAAGAAATCACAATCTGGTGTGAGAGATGGGTTGCTGTTGTTGGAGGCAGTTAATTATACAGGAGGAGATTGCCCATCCTTCCTTGGAGCAGCTGCCAGATTCAAACTGAGTGCCTCTGGGAACTTACCAATAGACTACCAGGGCTCCCTGAGAGATGGGAATGTACAAAAATGACTACAAAATAAAAGATCTAAGTGCTGAGAGAAGACTTTACCAAATGACCCTAATGCACATTTTAATGCTGTCCTGAAGATGGGAGAAAAAAAGACTTACACCATGGCTTCACAAAAAAAGCAATTCTGAGCAGTATCTTAAGATGGGAGTTGTTCAGATGAAGAATAAAAATCCACAGAAAAAAGCCTTTAAAACAATTCTTGACCTTTCCTGAAAACTTTCTTCTCCTTTAGTATTCTCTCTAATCTCAGTAAAAACTACCATTATCCACTCTCCAGTTCTGGGAACAAAAAGAATGGGATCCCAAACACTTAATTGTATTAATCAGAAATCTATGCATAAACCAAGAAGCTGCTGTCCAAACAGAACAAGGGCTTAAAATAAGAAAAACTGTGCATCAGGTTTGTAAATTTCCCCCCATAACATTCAATTTGTATGCTGAGCAAATAATTCAAGAAGTTAGATTATATAAAGAAGAATGTGGCATCAGGATTGGAGGAAAATTTATCAGCAACCTGCATTACATAGATGATACAATCCTGACTGCAATAATGGAAGACTTGAAGCACTTACTGAAAAGCAGACTATACAGCCTTTAAAATGTATTACATCTTGACCTAAAGAAAACAAAAAATTTTGACTACTGGCAAAACAGACAACATCATGGTAGATGGTGAAAAGATTAAAGGTGCCAACAACTTGATTATGCTTGGATTCACAATCAATACCCATGGTAGCAGCAGATAAGAAACCCAAAGACATGATGCATTGGGAAAATATGTTGTCAAGGACTTCTGCAAAGACCTCCAGAGTAATGATATAAAGACTAAGGTATGCCTGATGCAAGCCATGATATTTTTAATTGCTTCCTATACACCTGAACTGGACCATGAAAAAGGAAGACTGAAGAACTGATAGCTCTGAACTGTGGTGCTGGTGAAGCGTATTGAATATTGCATCAATCATCAAAAGAACAAATAAATCTGCCTTGAAGGAAGTATAATAAGGGTGCCCCTTAGAGGCAAAGATGGTGAAACTTTGTCATATATATTTTGGCCATGTTCTCAGAAGGGGCCAATTGTTGGAAAAAGACATCATGCTGGGCAAGTAGAGCATCAGCAAAAGAGAATGATCCTCAAGTAGATGAACTGACAAGGTGACTTTAACAATGGGCTCAAACATTTTTGAGATCATAAGGATGGCACAGGATAATGCAAATTCCCACACAGTGTCACTATGAGTTTTAGTCAATTGGACCATCCCTAACCACGACAACATGAAAAACAGACAAGGTTGGTATTTTAAACACTATCTGATTGTGTGACTACACCCATCACCACCATCTATAAAACTGCTCAATTGCTTCCTATTGTTTTTTATTAAAGTACAAAACCAGCACGGTGAACCACCTGGGCTCTGCCCACTTCAAATGGCAGCCTCACCCTCTTGCTCACTAACTTCTAGTCACACAAACCTCAGCTGAGTTTGATGACTATTCTTCCTAAACTTAGGTTCTAAGGACAAGTTGTTGGTTACACCTGAGACAAGTGCCCCTTTTCAATTCTCCAATTTCTTAGTTAATCCTACTAATTCTTCACTTCTCAGTAGAAAAATAATTTCCTCAAGGTAACTTTTCTGTCCACTTGCACCATCTCGTACTTCTCTCTAGTACTTTTCCCTCTTAATATTTAGATAATTTCTGTGGGCTTTTATTTAGCATTTGTCTCTCAAATCCCATTAAATTTTAAGTTCTACTAGGACAGGACCAATTTAATCTTGTTCACCACTGCATCTTCCTGCCTTCAATAAATGTTTAATGTGACACAGCATTCAGAGATGGAAAACAATATGTGCAAAGTCATGAAGCTACACAAGTATAAGCAAAGCAATAGGTAAGATCATGCCCTGGAAAACGGACCTTTTCTATTGACTTTATTTATTCAAGCATTATTCTCTATGTTCTTTTACAAAATCAATGACAAAAATTTACATTTTCAAATTTAGTATTTCATTCTACGACTAAACATGCTTTTTTAAAAGGGAGCTCTGGTGACATAGAGGTAAGGAGTTATGCTGTCAATCCAAAGACATGCAGTTCGCCAGGGCTCCATGCAAGAAACATGGATAATCTCTTCCTCTGAAAACTAGCTGGAGGGTCAGCCAAAGGTTGGTTCCAACTCAGTGGTACAAAACAGCAGCAGCAGCAACAACATATTCTAGAGACTGTGATACTCTCATCTAGTTCATCTTCCATCCTGTCAGGTCTCTAAAATATCTCTGGCCATGTTATTCCTCTACATGAAAATCCTGCATAACTTCTTTTACCTACACTACTACCGAGGTGCAATTAATGACTTCATATGGCCCTTCTAGCCATGTTGTTGTTGCAGTTGAGTGTCATAAAGTTGGTTATGACTTACAGTGACCCTATGAATCTAAATCTTGCCCTCTCCTTCCCCATCCACATGATATACAACATGCTTAAGCCCCCTGTTACAGTCATGGTCAGGGTCTTCCTCTTTCGCTGACCCACCTTTCCCAGTATGTCTTTTTCCAAGGACCATCTCCTCCTGACAACATGCCCAAGTATGTGAGACAAAGTTTCACCA